TCTGCTCCCTGGTGGTCAGTGTGCATCATAGCGACTGGTTGTTCCACTGTTAGGGTCAATTTGCATATTACCCTTTTATTATATAGGATGTACTGTTAGAAAGTGCTGTGGAGGGAAAGGGGATACGAGGGTTGTGTGTGTGTGAAGCAGTTCCAAGTGGGGTGGTCCAGGAAGGCTCCATGGAGAAGGTGACAGAGCAGAGACCTAGAGGAGGGGAAGGAGTGAGTTTGTGGCTCTCTGCAGGAACAGCAGGTGCAAAGGCCCTGAGGTGAGAGCCTGCTTGGGATGTTTGTGGTAGAGCGCACAGGACCAAGAGGCTGTTAGTGAGGAAGGCAGACCACTATACTGACTTTGGCTTTCTCTCTGAGTCTGAGTCATCATCATAATCTTTAGAAGCACAGGGTCTGCTATCATGATCATTTTACAGCTGCTACACCTGGGGCACAGGGACATTGAGTTATCCACCAGTAAGTAGCAGATCCCAGGCTTGATTCCAGACAACTGGATGCAGGGCACATATTCTTGGCCATGAAGCCACCAGAAATGGAAGTCTGGCTCTCCCCAGCCACCTTCTGACTTGCAGGAGTGTGTTTAGCCTCCACAAAATTATTGAGGTTTTTCAATCACGTTGGTTACCAACATTTAAAAATGGGCAGCCCGGCTCATGTGGCTCAGTGGACCCATGATCCAGGAGGTGACTGTTGGATTTGCCAGGATTGCAGGCTTAATCCCCAGTAGGGGGCATGCAGGAGTCAGCCGATCAGTGACTCTTATAATTGATGTTTCTGTCTCTCTCCCTCTCTCTTCCTCTCTGAAATCAATAAAAAAAATTTTTTATTTTTTAAAAATATATTTTATTGATTTTTTACAGAGAGGAAGGGAGAGAGATAGAGAGTTAGAAACATCGATGAGAGAGAAACATCGATCAGCTGCCTCCTGCACATCTCCCACTGGGGATGTGCCCGCAACCCAGGTACATGCCCTTGACCGGAATCGAACCTGGGACCTTTCAGTCCGCAGGCCGACGCTCTATCCACTGAGCCAAACCGGTTTCGGCAAATTTTTTTTTTTAATGTCTGATTTGCTCTGGCCACTGTGGCTCAGTTGGTAGGAGTGTCGTCCTGCCAAGGTCGAGGATTTGATTCCCGGTCAGGGCGCATATGGGAGGCAACCAATCGATGTTTCTCTCCCTCTCACTTCCCCTCTCTAAAAATCAAAATAAAATGTCCTCCAGGCAGGTTTCATATAGAAATGGAGGTTTCTGGCTTCTCTTGAAAAACTGTGAGATCTAGATTGCTGAACCCACAATCCCATGGGGCAGTAATCTGATGGAGCTGAGTAAGGTCACCTCCTATTAACGTGGGCATTCCCTGCCATGTGCCCAGTGCCCATCACCTGATATCTGGACCCCTCATACATGCTTGCTTCATTGATTTATGTTACCTGCTTGGCCCCAAAGAACATCTGCATTTGATGCCTGTTACAGGATGTTAGACCAAAGCATCTTTCACCTTTTTTTTAAGTTTAGTTTTTAGAGAGAGGAGGGGAGGGAGAGACAGAGACATCAATGTGAGAAACAATGGTTGGTTACCTCTCCCATGTGCCCCAACTGGGGATCTAACCTGTAACCTGGGTATGTGCCCTGACTGAATCAAACCTGCTACCTTTGGTGTACAGAACAATGCTCCAACCAACTGAACCACACTGGCCAGGGCGACCAAAACATCTTTCAGAACTCATACTTTTCATACTACAAGCTCCAAATCTCAGAACCTGACATTTATCCACTGAAACTTTCATATCTACTATAGCTTAACATTATTGAATCTCAGAATCATCAAAGCTGAAATGCACAGCTCATTAAAACAACATGGATGGATTTTTATTTCCTGGGACAGGCATGTGTAAGCCCTCCTCTGCCCTAAGACAGGGCTTGCTTTCTAAGCATAGATGTAGAGAATTACCCATTTGTCAGCAAAAATTCCTAAGAATCAGGAGAGCCTGGGAATCAAGAGACCCAGTCTGCTGCCAGTGGGCTCATTCTGTTCCTAGGGGCCCAGCCAGAGTGTGAAACCAAGCTAGGAATTCCAAAGAGGATTTAATACAGGGAATTGGTCACACAGGTGTTACAAGGCTGGAAGTGAAAACGTGAAAAAGTGAGATAACCCAGAAATGTGTTTGCAAGAAGCTCCCACCTCTGGGACTGGGATACAGAAGAGAAGTGAGATTACCAGAACCCAATAGGTGCTTGAAGGGCAGGCCACATGCGCTGGTGCAGGGACCACTGACAGGTGCCATGTGCTGGTGCTTAAACCTCAAGAGGGGCACAGCGCCTTGTGTGCGTATAGACAGGTACTGGAGCCTGACTGCTGCTGGAAGGGTTCCAGCAAGAGTCCAAAGCAAGTCCTTTCCCCTTCTTCCTACCTTCCTTCTGCCCATATCTTTCATGGCAGAACTTAAGGAAACCAGCTCTCTAAGGCAGGCTGCAGGCCAAGAGACACTAGGCAAACACATTGTCAAGTATTTTTTAATTCTCTTTGGTAAGCACTGTCCTAAGTGTAGGGATGAAGCAGTTGCCCTCAAGAGCTTGGATTCCAATACAAGGACACAGATAATGAAATAAACAAGTGTGATAATTTCAGGTGTTGAAAAGCGGTGGGAAGAAATTAAATCAAGGTAAGGGTTGGAAGTGCTACTTTAGCCAGTCAGGTCAAGGAAGCCCTCTCTGAGGAGATGGCACATGTTGAAACCAGAATAACGAGGAGGTAGCTTTGCAAAGTTGGGTAAGAGCACTTCAGGCAGAGGGAACAGCAAGTGCAAAGGCCCTGAGGCAGAAGCCAAGCTGGCTTGTGTGGCTGGAGAGAGGTGAAGAGGACAGAGCGAGGGAGCTGAGATTGCTTAGTGGGCTGGGACTGTTATTGTTGGGTTCTGTGGGCCTGGGGAAGGTCTTTGGAAGTCATTTATGGGATGCCTTTGGAGGGTTTTAAATGAGAAGTGGCATAAGCTGATTAACATGCACAGGAGTGGTCTGTAATAGAGACTGGAAGGGGGGAGTCATAGCAAGGGGATCCGTTAGGAGAGTAGGGCTGGGGGAAAGTAATCAGATTCTTCAGGAATTTAGAAGTAGAGTGCAGGGTTTACTAATACAATGGCAGTTATGGTGGAGGTAGGGGACTGCAGGGGACCCACTTTAAGTTTGCAACTCCCATTTGTCCTCCAGGTGGCTGTATCTCATGGAGAGAAGTTTGGGGTTTGGGCTGAAGATAGATTTGGGAGTCACCAGTGACACTATAGAAAGTCTTAGGAACCTATGACATCTGGAGAGTATAGAGAGAACAGAAGCCAAGGGTATACTTGGGCAGGCAGCTGTCTCAGGAGAGCATGTGGGATTAAATCCTTAGGTTTGTCAGGGGGGTGTGTAGGGCTGCTGGAGAGGGGTGGGGGGTATGAAACACCTGGATCAGAAACTTCTGGGCTCTTACCATATGCCAGAGGAAATGTTTGGCCTTGTTAAAGTTGGTATTTTAGAAAACATTGATGGCCAAATGACTACAAACCAGTTTCTCCATAAGTCACTCCAAAAAAGAGATACAGGCTAGCTAGCCCTGCCCCAAATCCTACACACACAAACATCCCTGTTACAGGTAGTATTTCCCAGGGCGGAAACCCTGCATCCAGCCACAGAGTAGGTTGTATGTCTATTAGAGAAGGGGTTGGTAGACTTTTACTGTAATGGACTGTATGGTAACTATTTTAGGCTTTATAATCTCTGTAGCAGCTCCTCGAATCTGCTGTCCTGTATGAAAACAACCATACACAATAGGTAAATGAACAAGCATGACTGTGTTCCAATAAAACTTTATTTGCAAAATCAGGAGGTAAGCTGGATTTGGCCATAGTTTGCAGACACCTGCCTTAGGCTATACATTTTGCTGCATGTGACAAGAGACCCAAGCTAATGGCAGCTTAAACAAGATAGAGGCTTATTTCTCTCTTATATAACAGTAGGGAAGTGGGTGTTCTCGGGCTGATACGATGGCACTGCTGCATGAAGTTGCTCTGCCATCCCACCTGTTGCTCTCATGGTCCAAAATGACTGGATACTATGTCCACATTCCAGGCAGAAGGTGGAAGAAAGGCATGTCCCTTTCTGAAGCTTGAGGACTCTACTCAGGAATTTAGCCAGAACTTAGTCACACGGCCACTGCTAGCTGCAAGAGAACCTGGGAAATGTGGTCTTTGTAGCCATCATGTGCCTAGTTAAAATTGGGAGACAGCTATCAGTCACTACCACATCCATCCCACCTGTGGGATTTAAAAACATCCCTCAATTTAAATGAGTCTATGATTATTGTATACAGGGCATCAACCATTGTGTCTAGGGGCAGGGCAGGTAATGCAAGGAGTTAAATTGGCCACTCAGCTGAGGATGGGCTTTTCAAGAGCTGAAAATAGGATGTTAATAGGAAATCTCCCAATGTTGGCCAAATACAACAGGAAACAGAAGGTATCTCTGTTTGATTCCAAACCAGTTTCCTCATAGGGCTCAGCCCTGAGATCCCCCTCCTCATGCCCTTCTTATGTACTCTGGGGATTTCTGCTGAAAAACCAGAGTTCCTTGTTTAGCTATTTTAATGTAGAGCTTTTCTGTTTTTAGATACTGTTAGTTTATTTGTGTCATTTCATCTACACATATACGAAATATCCCATGACCAGAATGGTGCATAAAATTATTTAAATTATCTGGGGTGGGAGGACAAAGCCACCCAATGCCATGGCCCCTCAAGTGGGAAAGGCTGGGAGAGGGTGGGGAGAAGACAGATTTGAACTGCACCCCCACATTACTCAGTACAGCTCCTAACTTTGCTGCCCATCCCCAAAGGCTGGAGCTGCTCCATGTCTGGGACCCATCTGGTGGCTTCACAGGCCAGCAACGCTCACCTTCCCAGCCCCCAGTCAGGCACAAAGCCAGGGCAATTTGCTCCTATGGCCCATGGCATCCATCTGGGAAGAATTAAAGGTGATTACACAATCCACAGCTGCTTGTGATTTCAAACTAAAGTGGGAATGAGGGAGATAAAAATAATTTTCCCTCTTACATACATTTTTTAACAAAAGATCTCACGATTGTCTGATTTCACCGAAGGCCTTTCTGTCCTCCAAAGACTGAAGCTCTAAAGAGCATATTCTGGGTTCTATTTATCAGGAGCCCTTTGCCTTTCCAGCAAACTCCTCCAAGGGCCCATCCCATTATTAAAGGTAGGTCCCACCAGCCACAGAGCCCCCTTTGCCCTGGGGAGGGCTGAAGCTGCACTCAGAGGTCCCCACGGGCACACCGGATGTAGTGTTGATGCAGCCCAGCTTCCTGGGCAAAGTCCTGCCCACATTCAGTGCAGGCAAAGGGGCCAGGAGGGAAGCGAGCTTCATGCACCTGGCGGTGCCACCTCAGAGGAGCGGCCTGCCCAAAGGTCTTGCCACAATCAGGGAAGGGGAAGGTGGTCTGGGCAATGGTGGGTGCAACCGTCAGGAAGGGCCTGGTAGCAGGACTGTGGCTGCGCTGGTGGGCGATCAGGGCCTTGGAGGAGAGGAAGGAGCGGGCGCAGGTGAAGCAGATGAAGAGCGCCCCCTGCAGCTTCTGGGCCACGAAGTCGGCTGGGTGCTCCCGCTTCATGTGGCGCTGCTGGAACTTGGAATTGGCGAAGGTGATGAGGCAGCGGGCGCACTGCAGGGCCCCCAGATGGCCTGAGGGACGTGGGGAGAGGGCGGGGGAGGCCAGCAAGAGTCTCCAGGACTTCTCCCACGCCCCAGCATCATGCCAACAATGAACATTCAGTGCTTACTATGTGCCAGGCTGTGTGCCAGCGCTGGACAGCAGTCCAGGCAAATTATTATTGGACCTGTTTTGTGGATAAGCAGACTGAGGCTCAGAAAAGTTAGGGAACTTGCCCACAGTCATGAGGTTAGGAAATGAAATGGAGTTAGGACTGGAACCCAGGGAGTCTGTCCTTCCAATACAGCTGTGTGATCAGAGCACAGCCTCTGGAGACGGGCTGGTTCTACCATTTCCCAGGCAGGTACAATAGTTTCCTCATCTGGAAAATGGGGTCATACCCCCACCAGTATTTACCTGATAGGGCTGTTGCAAGCAATACATGAATGAATTTACACAAAGTGCTTAGAACTCTCTACACAGTGGTTTGTAATTATTACTGTTAGGAGAAAAGCAGCCCCACAGCCAGGACCTGGCCTGGCACTATGATAGGCTTTGGCATTGTCCTGTTGAACATAAACTATTTTACAGAAAATCATCAGACAAGGCCACACTGACCGAATCAAGCCAACAATGGGAGGCCGGCTACAGAGTCTGTGAAGCTGCCCCAGGAACCGGAGCTGTCATATCCCCTCCTTTTCCACTTCCCGTTGCAACCAATAAAGGCATTTGTCCCGTTTTAGGTGGGGAAAAAAGACAAGATCGTACTATAATTGCATCTGAACACAGACAAAACATTAAATATTGTCCAAGCCACAAAAATGACCAAATACCTCGTCCGGGGTAATATGAGTGGTGACTGCTGGTTTACCAGTCACAGCTTGTGCCCTGCTCGTTCCTCTGCCTTCTAGGTAAGATTTCTTAAGATAGCCAACCAGAGTTGCCCTGATTCCTGGCACCATCCAATCCAGAGCAAAACCCTCTTCCTTAAACCCTCCCCAAAATCACCCACCACAGACTCCAATCCTATAAGCAGTTGGTGCCCCCGCAGTGTGTGTGCTTCCTCGGCGCAGTGCGCAATAAACCAACTTGTGGACTACAGGTGTGTTCCTGGGGGTCTTTGGCTGGAGGGCATTGACTCTGGCTGTCACCGTTACAAATACTTACCCTCTCTTTGCCTCAGTTCCCTCAACTGAAAGTGATAATAACGAATTTCATAGGCTCTGTGAGGACTGGATAGGATAACGGGTGCTAATGGCCTAACACAGTGGTAGGCAAACTGCGGCTCTTTGATCCCTTGAGTGTGGCTCTTTCACAAAATACCACGTGCGGGCGCGCACATACAGTGCGATCGAAACTTCATGGCCCATGCACAGAAGTCGGTTTTCGGCCTGGGCGAGTCTGTTTTGAAGAAGTACTGTTGATATTTGGCTCTGTTGACTAATGACTTTGCCGACCACTGGCCTAACACATAGTAGGCATTCAGCGGGAGCTGTTGCTATTATGTCAAACTGGCTACCTTCATTACCCTCCAGTTTTCATCTTTTCTGCCGCTAACCTACATAACACCCCTTTGTGGTGAGCAGAGGTGAGTAATGGCAGACCTTTTTCACAGATGGGGAGACCACGTCCCAAGGCACTGCAAGTCTGCCCAGAGTTGGAACTGGAGCCTGGGGTTCCTCTCCGTCTCTGTTGTATCCCAGCCACATCTCCCATCCCAAGCCTCTCTGGATGCCACTGTGTCCCTCTGAACTGCATCCCATTCATACTTGTGTGGACAGAGCAGGGTGGATACATCTGAGCGTAATAAGGGCAAGGATGGGGAGTGGCAGTTCCTGGTCGGGCTAGCTCCCCAACAGGCAAGTCCCTACAGCGCCTTGGCCATTGAAATGCCATAGAAATCCTCTTAGCATCAGTTCCTGCACCCCACCCTCTGGCCAGCCGTACTCACAGATGTCGCCTCCTGCACTGCGAGGACTCCTCTCTTTTGCTGAATCCAGCTGCTCCATGGTCTCTTCGGGAAGCGGGTCCTCCATGGACCCCTCTGGTCAAGAGAGGAGCACGCATGACAGAACAGGAAATCAAAAGACGCGGCTCATCTGTCACCAGCCGGAGAGCCCACTAATCCTATGACCTTGCCAGCCTTTGACCCCGTGAGATACCATCTCCTTGAACTCTAACCTGATGGAGCTCTCACTAGAGAAACGTCAACAACCCCCGCCCCCCCCCAAAGATTCGACTCCTGGGTTTGTGACTCCCCTTAGAGCCATCCCACCTGTGTGAGACCCAAGACCGACAGCAACTAGCTCCCTAAACTCAGAGCGTGGAACCCTTGATCTGACACCATCCTTGTCCCCGTCTCTCCACATTCCTGAGGCAGGTGGTGGTACCCACGCTTTAGCCCGCTTCTTCCCGGTAGACAGCCTTCTCCGACATCCTTACACTCTTGTTCCACCCCGAGCCCCCGCCTCCGCGCGCTTCAGCTGGGGGTCCCGCAGCCTCCAGCATCGCCCTCGGCGCTCCCCTCCCCACGTGGGCAGCCCCCGCCTCTGCTTTGCTCCAAGCAGCAGAAAGGCTGCCTTTCGTTGCGCCTGTCAGTGGCGCGTCACAGCGCCGCCCCCCGCAGGGAAGCCGGGTGGGGCCCGCTGAGTCTCTGGGTCCCCGTGGTTTCCACGTTCTTTCGCCTGATGAGCCTGTCGAGGCCGAGATCCTGGATTGCCATCCGGCAGTGATGCAGCCGTGCCACTCGGTCCTGAAAATAGCAGCCAGGGTCCTTCCCTGCACCGGGGTGCGGCCTGATGACGCTGCGAGCCACCCGAGCCGCACGGACCTGAGCCACTGCGCAGGTGTGGCCGGCGCTCCTGGCGCGCAGGCGCCCTGGCTCCTCATTGTTCCAGGTTCTGCGGCCGCGCGGAGGGGGGGGGCGGGGGGGGGGAGGAGCAAGCTCCCGGGGCCGTTCTGCGCAGGCGCCGCGGAGGGCTGTGTCCCTGAGATCTCACTTCCAAGGCACCGCCTCCTACAAGGAGTGACGTCAGGTCAGAGCTCCCCGAACACGTCCGGAGGTCCCCAAACCCCGGCGCTCCAGCCGCTTCAGTCCCGGGCCGTCCGACTTCTCAGCGGCGGACCGGCCACCGGCGACAGCGCGACCATACCCTCCAGCTGTTTGCTTGGTTGGTGATTGGGAAGGGAGGGGTGAGGGATTAACAATAAACGTGTCCCTGCGGGAGGAGGAGGGCTGGAGGCCGGATTTCTGAGTTTTTGAAATAGAAAGGGAAACGCATCCATCAAGAGGACCGGAGAGGACTCCGGGTCCCTGGGGGGTAGGGTCTCGGCCCTGGATTTCTCGGTCCCTGGGCGTGATCCCCGAGAATGGAAGAAGGGACAGGGTGGAGGACTGAAGTCTAGGGCCAGAGTGGGATTACAGCCAAGAACACGGCCAAGTGCCCCCTGACTCCGGGCTTCCCCGTCGCTTGCTTTCCAGCTATGCCTCTACCGCGAGGTGACGTCACCGCCCTGTTCCTGGGGCCCCCGGGCGCGGGGAAGTCGGCGCTGGTTGCCGCGCTGTGCAACAAGGACGTGGAGGTGGTGGAGATCCCCGATGGGCGGCCAGACCCCGCACTCCCCAGCCTGCGAGCTGCGGGCCCAGGCCTCTTCCTGGGTGAGCTGAGTTGCCCACCCGCTGCGCCCGGGCCCTGGGCAGCGGAGGCGAACGTGTTGGTACTGGTGCTGCCCAGCCCGGAGGGGAACGACGAGCCCTTGGCCCCAGCGCTGGGGGAGGCAGCGCGGGCCGCACTGGCCCGAGGAACCCCGCTGCTGGCTGTGCGGAACCTCCGACCCGGGGATCCACAGAATGAAGCCCAGGCCCGCGATCAGACAGCGGCCCTCCTGGACAGCGCTGGGTTGGGAGCTGTGCCTGTCTATGTGCTGCAGGCGGACTGCGACGGCTGCGAGGAGCTGGAGCGCCTGCGGGCGGCGCTGCGGAGCCAGGCGGAGGCACTGCAGAGGTGAGCCCGGCGTTTCGGGGTGGGTTGGGGAGGCCTGGTCTTATGCAGACCTCACCCCAGAGGTGCTTTTTAAGTCTTCCAGACCCCACCCTCAGCGATGCTCCAATCCAGCAAGCGGCTCTGCTTGACCCTCTTTTGTTAGATAGGCCCCGCCCTAGCCGGGGGCCAGCAAGAGCTCAGGACCTGTCATCCAGGTTCTGCCTGCTGAGTGCTCTGAGGTCACAAGCCCCTCTCCCTAATAGGAATTCTAGAAGAGGCCGGGACCTATCCCCCAAATACTGCCCCCATGCAAAAGTGTGAAGAAGGGCTCACTCTTCCACACAAGCTAGTGATCCTCACAAAGATTTTACCTGAAGGCTTGCAGTCTCAAATCTTCCTCATCCTCCCCATCTGCATGGTTCTCAAGTGACCCCAGTTGCCCTAAAGCCACACCCTCAGGGAGCTTCATTATTTCTGGGTACCCTCCCCCATTGCCATTCTTTAATCTCCTCTCATTTTTGTGCCCACTTGCTGGCTGCCCTCCTGAATTTTCTCCGCCAGCTGCCTCTGGCTTAGGGAGGGGCAGCCTCTCCTCCAGTCCCACTGCTCCTCTATTTTCCTTAGCCGTGTCCCCCTGGTAAGAACTAGTCGATGAGATTTCTCCCTGGTCTTTCCTCCTGTCCTTACATCCAGTGTCAGGAAAGAGCCCTCTTGGTGACCTTGCCCATATCGAATAGTGAATAGAGCTATACTTTCACTTAGTCCACAATACAGTGCTGATTCTGTCTTTGCCCCAAGCCCTGCCTGCCCAGTGTTTTGCCCCACCCAGCACAGCCTTTTCTTACCCTTGCAAGTCCCTAGGAAAAGCCTCACCCCAAAGACTCTATGCTGGGGAAGACTTAGCTGGATCTGGTTTTCGGAAACCTAAGCTCATTCAAGCCACCCCATCCCTGCTTTAAATCTCTCCCTTTTCATCTTAGCCCTGGTTTCTATTTGCTGGGACATCAACTGGCCCCCTCCCTCGCCTGCTCCTTCGTCACTCAAGGTTATTCAGAAAGTTCCACATTTGTCATCATAGCCCAGTCCTGTCCCCTAGCCCAGCTCTCTGGGGCTTTAGTCCCTCTTCTGCCTTTGATCCTATCCCTTCCTGTCCCCACAGGCTCCTGCCACCGGCTCAGGATGGCTTCGAGGTGCTGGGAGCAGCTGAGCTAGAGGCTGTACGGGAGGCCTTCGAAAAGGGTGGCCTGGAGGCGGCGCTCTCCTGGGTTCGTGCTGGCCTGGAGCGACTGGGTAGCGCCCGCCTAGACCTGGCCATAGCCGGCACTGCTGACACGGGCTTTGTGCTGGACATGCTGCTTGGGCTGGACACCGGGGACCCAGGTGCTGTGCCTGCTTCGGCGCCCACTGGGCCCACACCCTACCCGGCCCCCGAGCGCCCCAATGTGGTGCTCTGGACCATCCCTCTGGGCTCCGCCACTACTGCTGCCGCCCCCCACCCAACCCACTACGACGCCCTCATCCTGGTCACCCCTGGAGCCCCCACTGAGGAGGACTGGGCCCAGGTCCGGCCCTTGGTGCTACCGGATGCCCCGTTGGTCTGTGTGCGAATAGACGGTGAGGGCGAGGATCCGGAGTCTCCGGAAGAAGAGGAAAAGGCAGAGAAGCCCAGCAGGGAGAGCTTAGAGGACGCAGAAGGAGGGGGGTTGGAGGAGGCACGCAGCGAGGGAAGGGACAAACGTGGCGCTGGGTCGCAGAAAGCAGGCAGTGAGAGTTCGCAGCAGGCTGGCGGCAACGCGAAGCCATCGGGCAGTGGGGACTCTGAGCGCGCGGCTGCCTGGAGCCCTGAGGACGAGACGTGGGAGGTGCTGGAGGAGGCGCTGCCGCCGGTGTTCCCCTTGCGGAGGGGCGGACTCCCCGGGCTCTGCGAGTGGCTGCAGCGCGCGCTTCCCCCAGCCCAGGCGGGCGCGCTGCTGCTGGACGGGGCCACCCACGTCCCCGCGTGCAGCCCGAACCAAGGCTG